AACCATTCGACGGAAAGGACTTCTTTACCTAGTCATTCGAATTCGAACTGATGATGGAAGGCGCGCAGCTTCTTGGCTTCTTCGATGGGTCCCTACCATATCCAACAAACGGCACGCAATACGACAAACAGCAGTATACGTATCAATCTATGATGGCGTATACAATCCTACTGCGCAACGTCACTCCGAACCAGCAGCAGAACATTCGGTCTTACCGAGGATACGGAAACTCCGCCGAGCTCGCGTACAACCACCTGAAGAACCTGTATCAGGCAACAGACAGCGTCAATCAGAGTCGGTTAATGGCACAACTGACAACAGTGGAAATGAAACCGGGCGAAAAAGGGATGGCGTATATCAGCCGCTGTCGCGAATTGCGCGACAAACTCATTCGATGCGGAGGGTCGATATCAGAAGACGCCTTCGTCACAGTCGTCATTGGCGGTCTTGGTCCTCATTGGCGCTCCACTCGCGCCATACTCCGAGCTCACGGGAAGATCTCCGGGAACATCCAAGCAACACAGTGTTAAACAACACAATCAGAGCAGGAGTACTCGACAAAGATTCACTGCTCCTAACCGATGGAAGCGAACTTCGACGAGCTCGTGGAACGTGCTTTACCTGCCCCGAAGCTGACTTACCACATCGGCCATTCGCTTCTCACCACAACCCCAGCGCAGCAGCTTACGCACCACTTGAGAAAGTGTACAGCGACATCCTGTACAATCGCGAACCTGGACAAGGAGCATACAGCTACACCATCACGTTCATCGATGCCGCTACGCGTTACGTTTGGCACCTTAACCTTCCGAGCAAGGACATAGCTTTCGAGGCCTTCGTCGCTTGGCTCCCAGTAGCAAAACGAGCATCAGGCGTGAAACTAAAAAGCTTCCAGTCAGACGGAGGAGGAGAATACACCTCACAGAGGTTCAAGCAGTACTTGGCAGAAAGAGGAATCAAGAGGCTCATCTCTCTTCACTACGCTCACCAGCAGCAAGGCGTAGCAGAAAGAATGAACAGGACTCTCCAGAGCACCATGCGCAAGCTGCTACGAGGCATGCGACTGCCCAACCACCAGTGGCCCGAAGCAATGGACCACGCTGTCATGCTGCACAACTTGCTCTCGTCATCATCGCTCCCGAACAACGCATCACCGCATCTGCTGTGGACAGGAAAACAGGGCAGCACAAAAATATTAAGAGTTTTCGGCTGCATGGTACAGTCCGACCCCCATCTGCACGAGCCGGCCGATTTTCCCAACGCGCACAGTGGGGACTACACCTGGGCATCGAAAGAAATTACAACGCGTGGAAGATTTTCGACGTCCACTCCAAAGAAACAGTAGCAGCACGTGATGTCATTTTCTACGAACGACTCACCCTTCCGACGTATCTTGCCAACCTGGAAGAAGATCGGGACCCCACAGGTGGCTTCCGTGGTGATCGAGCCTTCGCCTCAGCAGCAGACGAAGCTGACTGGGACGAGCAGAACGTGGATGAAGCCTCGGAGGAGGCCGGACCTCTCCCTTACTGCTCCGTCGACGCCCCAATGGATGACGAAAATCCTCGCGAAAGCGTCAACGCCGAAGTATTTTACCACTTCGCCGACAACGGTTACGTTACACCTGCAGAAGTCAACACCAACGAAGCAAAATGCATAGGGCCCAACTTCATACCTGACCCAGAAGCAGGTGACGAAGCAGCTTATCCCGCGGACACAACTCTCCCCCGCTACACACAGAGTGGCCTCCAGATACTCGGCCTCGTCACCGCGGTCCACGGCACGGAGATTCCTAAGGAGCCTGCTACAGTTCAGCAGGCTCTGGGGGGGGAGCATAGGGAAAAAATGGCGTGAAGCCATGGACAAGGAACTGAAAGCACTGGAGGAACGCAACACCTGGAAAGTCGTCCCTATCGGCGTGACATGAAACAAGACAGTACCCACCGGGAAGTGGGTCTTCCGTGTGAAGACAAAGGCAGACGGCACCATCGACAAGTATAAGGCGCGGTGGGTCGTACGCGGCTTCGACCAAGAGCACAGACGCGACTTCACCGAGACATTCGCCCCGGTCAGCCGACACACCTCACTACAAATCTCCTCGCGATCGCCGCCATGAAGAAAAAGAAACTGCGGCAAATCGACGTCGCCAACGCATTCCTCTACGCACCTGTTGACGCCGAAATCTTCGTCGAACTCCCACACGGCTCCCACGGAGAACCTAACCAAGTCTGTCAGCTGCAAAAATCCCTGTACGGCATCAAACAAGCTCCAAGGCTGTGGCAGCAGTATCTGCACGCAAGACTTATTCGCATTGGATTCCGCCAACTACCTCACGACCAGGGCATGTATCGGCTCACAAAGGGCACCGACTACATCCTACTGATCGTCTACGTGGACGATTTACTCTACATCGGCTCGACCAACAACGTCACCACCTGGTTCGAAGGGGAACTACAGAAGGATCTCACACTCACAGTCTCGTCCACTGTCACGCAGTATCTCGGCCTCAACATCCAGGAAGAAGGAGACTCGAACTACCTCAACGCCGCAAAATACGCCGACACCATCGCCAAACGCTTCGCACTCACGCCGACCACCATCTCTACGCCATACCGCTACACGGCAGGAAATAACAAGGAAGGATCCGCTCCACTAAAGCCCGCCGACATACGCGACTACCAGAGAAAGCTGGGATGCCTCCTCTTCGCAGCTGTCACTTGCCGTCCGGACCTATCGTACTCCGCAAGTCAGCTCGCGACCTACCTCAAGAAACCTGAAATAGAACACATGGCGGAACTCAACCGTGCTCTCCACTACCTCGTCAGCACTTCAACCGTCAGTCTAACCTACCACAAGAATGGGACTACGACACCTAAACTAATCGGCTACGTCGACGCCGATCACGCCGGCGACTCCGACAACAGACGCTCACGCAACGGCTACATCTATCGCCTCGAGCCTATCGGACCCATCTCCTGGCAGTCGAGCAAGCAGGAATTAATCGCTCTCTCTTCAGCTGAAGCTGAATATATCGCACTCTGCTCAGCCACCAAGGAAGGACTGTACCTTCGCGAACTTCTGGAGGAGGCGAAGCTGGCTCAGTTACCCAGATTCTCCTTGTTCTGCGACAACCAGTCGGCAATTCGCATAGCCAACAAAAACGGATTCGCGAACAGGACGAAGCATATCGCCCTGCGATATTTCTTCGTAAAGGACGAGATCGAGAAGGGGAGACTTGAGCTGTCTTACTGTCCCATGTCCGAGATGGCAGCTGATTACTTGACCAAGAAGCTCGGGAAGCAGAAGTTCGAGTACTGCATGCTGCTGACTGCACGAAGCCACGTCACCAGCAGCGACACTCCAGAAGCGAAGGGGAGTGTTGGAAACACTTGATTTAGCGCTTCTGTCGTGTCGAAACACCAAGTCAGAAGCGAAGCAAAACATATCGAAGCATTAGCGAGTCAACCCTTGGAGGTTGAACAACTGCTGGAGGTTATGCGAAAGTCAAAGGTCAGCGACTTTTGACCTGACAAATACAGCGCGACAGCAAGGACAAATAACTGACTCGCTATTGAGCAGTTGCCCGAGTCGTCACTGTATCGAACCGCAACAGCAACAGCGAAGCGGTTATTAACTATATCTCTTCGTATTCCTTGTACTCTTATAAAAACTTGTATCCCTTTGTTTTAATCAATCTACTTTGCCCTCACATACTAGCGCAAGGTGGTTCACAAAGTTCTCATTAAACGCTTCCGCTATTACATTGTCCTACTCATAATTTAGTCCTGCAAAGATCCTAAGGGCTTTTCTCAGCCCAACAGCAGCAGCGTGGCCAGCTTTGTCTTGCGTACGTGGCCACTCGGGCCAACACTGCTGATATATTCACCAAGGCACTTCCGTCTGGTGATCATCAGCGCTTTGTTACTGTGTTAGGCCTTGTGCCTACCTTGCCTCACTGGCTTACTGCTTGACTCTGTTTGTACTGTGATCTCTATATATATACCTGCATGCTTGCACTTTCTAGGGTATGATCATTGTATTGTTTGTTCTCTTTTTATAACTCTGCATGTAAACTGGCCTTATGGCCCTTTGCTTGTGCTCGGACTGTGTGGTGACTTTGTGATCCACCCTGAGCTTGCTTTGCTTTTATTGACTGGTCTTGTGACCACTTGTTCTCCCCCACTTTGCCTATGGGGGTGTGTCAGAACATTATAGCTTTACATTTGTATAGGCTATAGTGGGGTAGTCCATAAAGGGTACAACCCAATTAGGGTTAGTACTTGTACCCAACTCTTTCATAGTTCCTTCATTCTCGTTCGTTACTTTTACTGTGCTAGCCAAAAGGCCCTGTTGCGCAAGCTGTGAATGACAAAACCCTAATTCCATATTTTCTAAACTAAGTTGCTGAGTTTGGTAGATGAGCGGATGGGATGACATTTGAGCCAAGGAGATAAGGGCTCTGCTGTGCAAGCTACGAAGAAGGCTGTTGTCCTCTGGATAGATGGTGACATTCTAGCCAAAGGTGAAGGCCCTGCTCCTCACGATATTAGTTCTAGTGTTTCTTTATGGTGTGAAAGGCTTTTTTATGAGCTAAGGTGAAGGCCGCAAGCCAAGGGAGGCCCCGTCTGAAGGTACTGACGAATATGTATATAGATTGACTTGTATAGTGACAATATTACAGTGCTGTAGTGCAAAAAATCTACAGTGCTATCTAGCTACAGACCGTGGGGCCAGCACACGGATTATGTGCCACTCGATCTCCGGCTCCTACTACCTAAGGGCAGCAAGGACGAGAAGTCATAGAGAGGCGCCCGCAGCCGCAAACTCTTCCTCGCTCCCTCACTCACTCACTTCCTCACCCCCTCGCATTCACATTCGCGCATTCGTGCCCTCTCCATCGCACCCCACTCGCAGCGCTTTCGTCTACCCGGCAGAAAAACAATTTTATTGCGACCTTGCTCCCATCCCTGGGTCGCCGCGGCGGTCGCAGGCGTCGCCGCTCACGATACGTCGATGCGAACTTTGATGTTTCGCGCGCAGTCGTCGCCGATGCTGCTGCCGAAATACAGCGTCGTTCGCGACTCAGTGGGCGCAACCGTGTAACGAACCATTCCCCAGTACCCCTGCGGGGCCACCGTCTTGGCGAAACCGAACCAGCACGCGGTGTAACCGAGCGGCGTCGCCCACTGTCGCACGTTTCGCATGCCAATCCAGCGGAAGACTGTACAGCGGGGATGGGCGCGGGGAGGGGCGGAGGAGAATGGCGCAGTTGGGTTGGGAGTCAGGCTTCAAGGGGGGATGTGGGGAATGTGGGTGCGGCAGTGCCGAAGAGCCCATGGGGACTGGGAATGAGGTTCCAGTGGGCCGAGTGAGGGAGATGGACCGTGAGAGTGCGAACGAACACGTACGAAGGTCCGTTTTGTGCAAAGCTTTTCAAAAGCACTCCAGTGCGGTGCATTGCTGTGCAGTGCGGTGCACGTCGAGCTGATTGCAGGTCGAATGCGGAGCAGCTTGAACTACCTGTGTGATTGCTAGCGCGTGTAGCTACATGAGAAGCAAGTGCAAACCTGGGGTACGATAGTACCTACACGTGAGTCGGCTCTTACCGAGTACATCGCCGGCCACGACGGTGGGCTGCTGCCACGAAGATACGCCATACGCCCACGGGCTGATGAAACTCCAAATGTCAGATCCTTGCCCCACCGTTATCATCTTAGCATCCGCCGAGCCTGGAACATCGGAAGGAACACGAGCGAGTCAGACATAGGGAGAGGATACAGGAGTTAGGGAGATTGGCAGGATAAGGGATAGAAGCGTAATAGATGACGCAAGGTGTGCGAATCGAGAGTGGGAGTCAAGAAGCCTTACCGATGCAGACTCCAGCGAGTACAATTCCGAGCAGCAGCAGATGCCGATATGCCATGGCTCGTGATGAGATGCGGGAAGAAAAGTTTTGGCGCTGCGTGATAATCGCTGGAGAGACAGGGCTCGAAGTTGGTTCCCAAAAAGATGCCCCATTTTCAATAGTGGGGAAAGGGGGTTGAAGTTGGGCTTCGAAGTTGAGTTTGCGTGGGTGCTGCAAATTCTTTTCGCCCAACCTCCAGCGAAATGCGTCGCTTCCCAATGTTTGCATATTTTCGCGCCATCCAACCGACTCGCGAAACGGATCGCGCGCGCCTCGGCGAACCTAAATTGGCCCGATTTTGAGGAAATAACGGATCGCCCTGTTTTCAAGTTTCCAATTCCTTTGGGCAGTGGCTTTGACACTGCCTCGCTTCTCCGATCGCGTCCGATTCCTTGGGGCAGCTGATTAAGACATTTCCAATTTCCTGTGACCAGGAAAATTCTGAAGTTTACCTGGTTTTATTTTAGTGGCCAGTGGAAAAAATAAACCCCTCTCGGATGCCCGACCATTTGAGAGGCATCAACCCTAAACACCATGAGGCAAGGTGTTTAGGGTTGCTGCCTCAAAAATGGCATGCCCTCCATGAGGGGTATATAATTTTTGTCCCGAGCTTCTCGTAATTGACGCGACAATTAAATTTATGATATCCTGATAAATAAACACAATATTAGTCTCTAGACTCGAAAAAGGGCAATAGCGTAAATAACTGACATAAGGTATCAAACTCGAGCGCGAAGCAAGACGGTGTCAAAACCACTGCCGAAAGGAATCGGAAACCCGAAACCAGGGCGGTCCGTCATTCCCTCCCCAATTTTGGTCAAGTTTTGGTGTACAGTTCTTGTCTGACATGGCTGAAATTTCAAGCTTTAGGTGGATGACATATACATTTGTGTTTAATTGTTTACTACAATAATTAGAATAAACAAAGACAGTAAACTGTTATAAAAATACGCCTGCGTATTGTAATTATAATATAGTAGATGCTTGAATGACAAAAAAACATTGTTTAGAACAACAAACGGGCGTTGATTTGGCACCACGTAATCAGGGTCGTCGCTAGCAGAATTTTTCAGTCTGTTTGTCCGATATTCAGATAGATTTTTACCAGTTCATCTGGTTTTCCAGAAATGAATTTTCGATATTTCTGATTAATAAGAAATGTTTTTTTAATTCATCTGATCAATCAGTAACATGTTCTCGTTTCGTCTAATACCGAGTTACAATATAGAAGGGTGTTTCGTATGTGAATGGATTTCGACCAGTTATCTGAACTTTTACCTAACCCAATCACTGTATACAAAATTAGCCTAGTTAGTTACGATTGACATCACAAAGGTGAGCGTCCGAGTTCGGATCCGGAAGTGGCGAGTTCTTCTTTACAATTCCTTCGTAAGGTACAGAATACTGTGAAATGAAGAGGGCTCTTAGAAAATCAATGAGAAATTGATTTTTTTTTTTTCTGATTCAGCAGAAATGTTTTTAAGGAAATTCTAATGCATCAGACAGCAAAAACCACGCTATCTGATGCATCAGGCAGGCTCAAAACCTAGGGATAACCTTGCACGTAATAGCACAGGCCTATCATGGCACAGTTCTCACTGCTCGCATGTTTGGAACATTATATCTCCCTACAAAACGTGGCGAATGGCACCAAACCTGTATGGCACGCGTACAATATAGTACCGTATCACCCCCGATATAAGCGCAGGCCTATGTTAAACGCATGCGCTTATATCTGGAGCAATGCGCTTATGGCCGATCTGTTAAACTGTTAAAGTGCTTACTTTGTGTAGGCTATAGTGGGGTAGCCCATAAGGAGTACAAACCAATTAGGGTTAGTACTTGTACCCAACTCTTTCATAGTTCATTCATTCTTGCTCAGTATTCTGACATGGTTTCAGAGCAGATCCTTCCCTAGGACCGTTTTGTGAGAATAGTAGGCGAGAATGCTTGACTAGGAAAAGGGAAGGGGTACAAGTAGAATGTCGAGAGCAATCTGTACCCCCTAAGGCTAAACCCACTATAGCCTAGACAACTATAAACACATAAACTAAGCCTAGATATAACTAAGCATATACGTTTGACACACCCCCATAGGCGAAGTGGGGGATAGCCAGAACAAGCAATGGTCACAAGACCAGTCAAGAGAAGAAGCAAAGCAAAGCAAGCTCAGGTTGGATCACAAAGTCATCACATAGTCCGAGCACAAGCAAAGGGCTACAAGGCCAGTTCATATGCAGAGTTACATAAAGAGAACAAATAATACAGTGATCATACCCTAACAAGTGCAAGCATGTAGGTATATAGATAGATCACAGTACAGGCAGAGTCAGGCAGTAAGTAAGTGAGGCAAAGTAGGCACAAGGCCTAACACAGTAACTAAGCGCTGATGGTCACCAGGTGGAAGTGCCTTGGTGAAGACATCAGCAGTGTTGGCCCGAGTGGCCACGTACGCTAGACGAAGCTGACCACGCTGTTGCAACTCTCGAGCAAGGAAGTATCGCAGAGCGATGTGCTTCGTTCTGTGCTCCAGTCTGTGCTCCTGACACAAGGCTATCATAGCCTTGTTGTCTACGTACAGGACTGGAGGCGAACGAGGCTGCTCTCCCAAGTCGGTAAGCAAGTAGGTGAGCCAGCGTAGCTCCTGAGCAGCCATGGCTCCGGCGTAGATCTCAGCCTCACAGCTGGAGTTGAGAACTGAAGACGAGTGGGTAGACTGCCAAGAAACCGAGCCGGACCCAAGGCTGAAGATGTAACCCTGCGACGACCGCTGCGTAGCTGAGTCGTCAACCCAGGAGGCGTCTGCGTGACCACTGAGGACAACAGGACCCCGTCCTCCAAGCACAAGCCCCATGCCCGACGTACTGCACAGGTAACGTAGTACCCTCTTCGCAGCATCCCAGTGCACCTTTCGGTGCCTACCGGGAGCCACGTAGCGAGCCAGAAGGCTGAGAGGGTACGCGAGGTCAGGTCGTGTGCAAGTCATCAGGTACATGAGGCAACCCACAAGCTCTGAGTACGGACCAAACGGCTCTGCGGACTCGTCCGAAGGTGGAGCTGAGAGCGAGTGGCTGGTAGACAGAGGAGTGAGCTGTGGCGAGGAGTACTGGAAGCCGAAGCGCTGAAGGACCTGGTCCACCATGTGTGACTGAGTCAGTGTGATGGTGCGCCGTGCTCTGTCCCGGGTGATCTGCAGGCCAAGATAGCTGCGCAGTTCACCCAGGTCAGTGCAGGTATGTCTCTTCTGCAGCTCGGACTTCACTAGGGTAAGTGCCTCAGGGTCAGCTGTGGCAAAGACGAGGTCGTCGACGTACACTAGGACGTAGAAGGGCGGTAGCGAGGTGTCGGTGCGTAGAAACAGCGACGGGTCTGCTGTAGAAGGAACAAACCCAAGAGCCGCAAGTGTAGTCCTGAGTGTATCGTGCCACCCGCGAGGCGCCTGGCGGAGACCGTAGACTGGCCGGCGGAGGCTCCACTGGGTACCTTTAGGAAGCGACCCAGTGAAACCAGGTGGTCGGCGCAGCCAGATCTCCTCGTGCAGGCTGCCCTGCAGGAAGGCTGTATTGAAGTCCAGGGAGTGTAACTCGTAGTCACGCTGAGCAGCTACGTGCAGCAACACCCGAAGAGTAGTCATCTTCGGGGTGGGGGAGAAGGTATGGAAGTAGTCAACTCCCTGTCGCTGACTGAAACCTCGAGCAACGTAACGCGCCTTGAAGGCAGGCGGAGAACCCGGCGGCCGCTTCACCCTGAAGATCCACATGCCATCGACTATGTTCACCCCAGGTGGGGGAACCTCGTCGACGTAAGTGCATGTGGACTTCCAGGATGCCATCTCGGCATCCATAGCTGCCTGCCACTGAGAGGAGTAAGGACCCGTAATCGCCTCTGCGTAAGAGCGCGGGGTCGGGATGTCTGGAGCATCCGGGTCTCCCTCAGGGGCAAGCACCAAGGAAGCGAAACGAGGTACAGCAGCTGCAAGACACTCAAAGTCCTCCTGCCTGTCCTCAAGGACGTCCGTGCCAAGAGCACACTCACCCCCGACGGACGGAGGACTGGCAGGCACAGACTTAGCAACTAGAGCAGAGGCGTAGTCGAGACGGCAGGCAGCAACAAAGTCAAGAAGCTCAGCAACGAGAGCAGAATCAGCACCAGACTCAAAGGACTGGTCAGTGACAGCAGTGGCAAGGAGACGAGCGACAGTGGGACTGGCAGCACGCGCTCAGTCAGACTCAGGGTCAGGGACCTCAGGAAGAGAGGACTCAGGAGGAGCAGGCAGAGGAACACGCAGTGGAACAGAGGAAGGACGGAGTGCCATGGTGTGTGTGCCTGGGACAGAAGGAGGACGCGAAAGAGAAGCACGACGAGCAGTGCGAACAGGCGAGACAGGACGAGACGCAGGCTCACGACGCTCCGTAAGACCTCCAGACTGCTCAGTGTAAGGAGAGGGAACAGGCAGGGGGGAGGCTGGCTGTAACGGCGGCTGCGACTGGTCAGGCGGTGGACACAGGAAGGGAGGAGGAAGACCAGTAGAAGTCGGGACACCAAGAACCTGCTGAAGCAGGGGAACGAAGTACGGGCGCGGCAGCACAGTGCCTCCAGCACCTCCAGCTCCAGGGTCAACAGCTCCAGCTCCTGCAGCTCCAGCGCCTCCTGCGCCAGGGCCTCCAACTCCAGCTACACCAGCTCCAACGCCTCCGGCGCCAGCTGCTCCAGGCTCCGTAGGGTCTCCAGCTCCAGTAGTAACAGCAGCACCTCCAGCTCCAGCGTCTCCAGGCTTGCCAGCCCCAGGAGGTCCACTCCGACGGTGTGGGCGCTGAACAAGCCACTCACGCAGCTGCCGCGAGGATAGTCGCGGTGAAGTACCAGCAGGACCTCCAGACGAAGCAGCACCCCGAGGCTCAGCACCCCCAGACTCCGCACCCTCCGACTCAGCACCCCCAGGCTCCGCACCCTCCGACTCAGCACCCCCAGGCTCAACACCCTTAGGCTCAGCACCCCCAGACCTAGCACCCTCAGAC